CAAACATGGAACGTAGGAATCACGCTATAGTAAAGCAGATTCCACTCATACAGTTTTTCCGCCCCACCTGCGATGTTTTTAAACTTAGGAACCTCTGCCAGCTGTGTCCCTACCTGCAACTTGACATCGTTCCTCTCTGCAATTGGGCTTTTGCAGTCATGTCCTCTCCTTTTGTCTTCTTACTCGCTTGTCTATCCCGACGCCAGATTGGAAAACCTAACGTGTCGTATAACTCCAGTGGGGTTTTCAGCCTCGTGATTGGGCGTCGGTTGTTCCTCCCTGAGAATTTCGCGTATCTACGCACGATGGGTGACTTAACGCTGCACTATTGTTAGGTTCAGCATGTGGTGGTACTGGCGCTAGCAGCGTTTTATCCCGCCTGGCAGGTTACGCGCCGGGTGCTTGCACAAATAGGTGAGTACTTGTTGCCAATCATACAGTCGTTAGGGGGCAACAGGAGTCAGCAGCTGTGACCTTTGCGTTGCAGACATCAGATGTAGACCGACACTTACCTAGGCTACTCTCTACTAGGTCGCGCTCCCTTCTCCGCCTCCCCCTCATACTGGTCCTAAGCAGTCTGCTATGCAAGGGTTCTTTTAGAGGAACACACTTGCACTCCCACCTGACAAAACTTGCGAAGTTGGTGTGCGCTCGTGCGAACATGTGCAGCTGATGTAAGCGCCTAGAATTTGTGTTGTGATGGCGTAAACCGTGCCCTAATCATGATTACGGTTACCCTGGATGTTCTGTCAAAATTCTGTTTTTTTTCTAATCAGTTAAAAAAAATAGGACTCAGTAGCATAAAACCACTTGCAGACTTAGAGCTTAAATCGACTTGTAGACCCGGAGATCTGCGCCTGTCTTCTACGAATAAACTCTGCGGCGGTTGGGAATTCGGGGAAACCGGAGCGCATTCACGATAGCTAGAATTTCTGCGAAAATACGAAGAAGGGAGGGGGGAGAGTTTTTGACGAACAACGGGTTTCGCACATCTGGAATTGCGATTAAAGCTCACCCTACACCCCCCTCCCGCCCTCATTCCCCGTGGATTCGCCCTCTAGGCATGCTTATCCAGTGCTTCCTCCGATTGCAGTAACCCGCATTTCAGAAGGTACTATGGTGTCCCCTTTTATAGACCTGCGGCTTTGCCTTGATAGGTGTACATTATCCTCGTGTTTTCAACGAAGGAGTTAGACGAAGTGTAATCCAGCTAAATAAAACGCTGGTTGGTGCCCTCGAATCGAGGAGTATACTCACAATGTAGGGTCAGAGTGTTTTGCGATTAACCGTTGTGGGGTCACGACGTCTTTGTTGTTTGTGGTAGCGCTACTCTGATATTCCTTTGTTACTTCAAAATATGTTCTTTCTGTAACTTCAGTGTAGTGGATCGTCACCTCAAGCGAAGTATATCACATGGAAACCTAAATGAAAAGAACGTTGATAGGAACACAAGTATTCGGATCAGACAAAAACGCTCGATATTCAGAGGTTATAGAGTTTCGTCTTAGGTGGTAGGTTGGCGCCAAGATCTTTCTCGCATGCCTCTTCACCTTCTATTCATCGTCGATCTGGATCGTACTTCACTCACTAAAACAAACCAGTCCTGGAGGTCCTGTTATGGTGGTCTGTCAGCCAGACACATGTCGACAAGTGGACGCATTCGGTATGGCTAGAACTGCTGTGAATACAGGAAGCAAGGGGGGGGCAGAAAGTTTTATATGAGCAGCAGGGTTAGCACATCTGGGATTCCGGTTAAAGGTCATTCGTGGATTCGCCTTCTAGGCATATTTACGCTGTGCTTCCTCCCATTCCAGTACCCCGACGGTTGAAACCTAATAAAGTAGTCCATTTTTATGCACTTTCAGATTTGCCCTTAGAGGTGTGCATTGTCTTCGTATTTTCAGTGTAGAAATTAGACAAAGTGCAACCTAAGGACATACAACGTTGACTGGTACCTCCAAGCCTACAAATATGATTACAATACAACTTACCGTCAGCCGCAATGTCGAGCCACTTAAAGCACCCTTATCGAATGCCGTTTGATGACTATACCAACCAACTACGTTGATCGTGTTCATGCAGACGCAAATATTTGATGGGTACTTTCGGGTGTCATTTTTATTACGAATAACTGACAGTCTTTGTACCTTGTACCTTACTCTTCTCAGAAATCACTTTCTTACTCTGAGGAGAACAGTATATTCAAGAATGTGCATGCTCAGACCGAAATTATTTATGAATATTTGGGCCGAAGCCTATCAGCCACTGCGGGATAACCTGTCAGAAGGCAGTCAATCGTTTTACCCTACTGGCAACACAGGTAATTGGTAAAAGCCCAGACCCATGTTTCATCGATAATCTGGCGCTAAATGGCACAGCCATGGGCCCCTAAGCACTCCCTTTATGTTGTCTGGTAGATACTGCGTTTTTGAACTTCTGAATTTGTATTTTCCTACGAAAATAATGTCTAACTCTGAGTAGGTCTACAAGCGCACATCCAACCGTGCAGTAACAGAATATCAGTGAAACACTTTAATTCCAGTACGATAAAATTACGTTTTCTGTCCGTCTTTCAGCTCGCACCACTTATAACCTCTCCCACGGCTGCATAATTTGCAAGTAATGACTTTTCGCATCGGAGGGCTTGCTGTTATTCCTGTACTTTCCCCTTGAATGTATTCCCATAAATACTTTTCTATTCCACTAAATGATTCTTTCACACTTCATAAAAGGTTTGAAACTGGCCGATAGGCTATCGTACTCTACCATAAGGACCAGTAAATCGGTTGATTTTTTTATTAGTAGAACCGCTCAACTTCGAAAATTCCGTCCGGTATTTTTTATTTTGCCAAAATGGAATCTTTTAGAACAGTGTAATCTCTTGGCATCTTAAATAACCCTCAACCTGATAAGTTGTTTGTTTGGCGTTCTGGTCCCGTGGACTCACAACCATCCGCATCGGTTGTCGTTGTTTACCTGCCGTTATAAGTGCCCTAAGGCACTTTTAGCTCTTCAGATGGCTCTGGTCGCGCGTGTCATCAATAACGCCGTCTAGATGGGGTTTCGCGCGTCCGCGCGCACGTGCTTGATCCCAATTCTTGCGCGATTCAAGTTTGTGTTGGAAAATCAATACTTTTTGCGCGATGCAGCTTCGTGGTAGACGTCGGAGCGCTATTGTTGCCTCGTCATCTACTGGCTCATCTTCACTGACCCTTTCAGCCTTCCGGATCTCTGGACTGGAGCGTGATTCGAAAGCGCAACTTATCCGGAGAAACATGGAATACTACGAGACCGCAGAGTACCGGTACACGGGACCTCATGTGGACTCTTCCTCCTCCACCTTTACGACACTGGTGAGGGAGAATGTTCGAGCGGGCAAGATCACCGCTAAGACTCTGGTAGAAGATGCTGATACACAATCAACAGCGTAAGTTCTTCAAAATTCACTTTATTTCATCCGACTCTTTGGTTTTTATCACTAAGTGATTACTACTTATTTCCCCATCTGAAATGTAATATGGAAGGTGTAGAATTTTATTCAATGTTGAGCAGACAGTAGTCGTCGAGACAACGCATTTCGTATGACTAATTAGAATCACTAACCTAAAATTTCGGTACTCTTTAGATCTAGATGCCTTTAAGCCTGTCTAGATTAGTTTGCTTAGATTCTTTCACTTCGTGCCTTTCGTACTTGAAATCATAAGCACGAACTGTGGTTAGACACGAAACGCGTTCCTATAATGGGAAAGGCATCGACAAATATAACTATTAAATTTGACACCAAAGTCTGCAAGCAGCAAGATAACGTCAGTTCATGTGGGAACCGTATGGGATATTCAAACAAATAATAAAGAAGTTAGGGAAACCAGAAAGGACGTAGTTGCCCAAAAGGGAACAATTAACTATAAGGTAAACCGTAGACTGTTGACCAATATAAAAAAATGTCATATGAATGGATTTACTGTTAATTTTAGGAGGCAAATAGATGTTACTGTTAAATGGATGGAAGTTGGGTAACAAGAAAGCATACATGGGAACGTACAACTTCATAATTTCATCGTTTAACCCTCCCGCGTAGGTACTCAAAAAGTTGGTATACTTTTGCGGTAGTTCTTCATAACAATCCTCGTATGTAGCCCCTTAGAATTCTTAACCACAATTTCGTCGTCCACTGGAATCTCCATGGAAGTGAGACAATGACTATTAACTGGGATCATTGACACTTCATAATTATTGTCCTTTGATGCATTATAACTATTTTTGTCGTCGGTGACCGTCAGTTTATACATCCATAAATGAAGAGGACCATGTTCTGCGTGTGATGCCTTTGTTTGCTGTCTTTGACGAGCAGATGACAGTTGATGTTCACCTTGCTTTTTTAGATAGGCGTGCAATCCACATTGGCTTGATATTTGATATCAGTTACAGGGTATTTGTGTCTAAGTGCCAACTAACAGTCTGGAGAGCACAAGTATAAAATGCCCTAGAATTGGTAAGAATCCTTGCTTTAGTCCTTTTCGTCACGACGAAGGCATTCGAGATTGATTAACTGTCATGCATGCGGGTCTTCTTGCTGTCGGATCGAGAACTGCGTTATTTTATTACAGCTGAGCAAAAGAGAAGATCCGATCGACTATGAGCCCTATACTGCCTTGACGATCGCAAACAATCCTTCTGGTTAGCGCACCTCCTGGATTTGATTTTCTTTATTCTGCGGCCGAGTTTGACTAAAGTTCCCAATGTCGTGCCAAATGACACTTTGCAAACACAACTTTGTTCACAGAGGTCCCTGTTGCCTTGGTGACATTGCTTCCTCTTCGATAGTAGATGTTTAAACTCGATGTCACTCTCGTCCAGGCAGTTCCAGGCGACAACGGCGCATAGGTTCTAGACCTCTGTGGCAGTCTTTATGTCAGCTTCTAATAGGACGGCGTAAATTGACTAAACTGTCTTTATTCCACTCGAAGTGTAGTTCTGGTTTTGTGGCGAGGCTTGAAGGATTTTTTTATGACTCGACATAATAAATTTCGTATTCATTCCATCTGGAACTTGTAAATACGGTTCCATTGAATACTCTGGAATACTGAAAAGTTGAGTGATCACCACTGCCAGGAATCTTGAATTACTAGCCTTCTTAGTTATTGTCAGTTATTGTTTTAGACTATGTCTGATAGAGTTTTATACTCGTTTTCGATATCCTCATCGTAGTTGATGTCTAGGTATTTTTTTGTGTAGTTTTGAAAGTATCTTATGTGAGTACTTAATTGCGTGCTCATTGAGCAAGCTGCATTGGCAAGCACAGGTGAGTCTGAAAAAAAACGTGTCTATACGCGTTTACGTGTGTCGCGTGTTTCTTTTTTGTCACTGGCGCTTTATTTGATCTGTACGCTGAAGCACGTTGCTCTCAGACGGCCGGATGTCTGCGCAAATGACGCTTTCGCCGAAGCTGGTGATATGAGTGTCAACACGACTTTTTTTGATCGGTAAGCGCTCACCAATCGGTTTCGGGACTCACTGGCGCTGTCATTCTGCACTAGGACTCACTCTCGAGCACCGTCAGCAGCCGCAAATCGGCCAGTAGTGTAGACAGAGGAAAGTTATTGGTTTCCCTTGTCTTTGTTAGCAATTCTATTCTGTCTACGACGTTTTTTCCTGTCCGCCGCATTCGAAATACTGAAACACACCTGTCAGATTGACGAGTTATCAAGGCCTCCAACTAATGCGGCGTAGCATCTTAGAGGAGGACAATAGATATTCTATATCGACACGAAGGGAGTGACATTGTCTGTCGATGAAGACGGTGCCCCTGTTGCTTCGGACCGATGTCCCAGTGCCAACAATGTCCATGTGCACCTTGTATTTCCGGCCAAAACAGTCTAGACTAAGGAGGGAACGTCGTGCGGGCCATGTGGCTTGTAATAGTCAACGTGCCTATTTTAAAATATACCGTTTGTTGGGCAAATAATCTTTTCACAGACACGTCGGTGACTATGCTATAGTGCCGAATCAACCTTCACTCATGCTCCTATTCATGTTTTCGGTTCGTCGTGTGTTTGTCATTGGACCCCATGAAGGTGGCGCAATTTGTAACGGGCCAAATTCCACCACTGGAATGTCCCATTAACACATAGGTCGACTGACTTTTCAGAGTCAGACTATGCGTTGGGCTAGCCGGAGCCTGGGTGACCCGTGGAATTAAATGTGCCTGAAAACGCCTCCATTGTCTTCCTCTACGCATTTTCTAGCGGGATGAGTAGGTCAACATTACCGGAGATGGGTTGGGCGTGGAAGATGAATAAAATCTGGAGATATTTGACCGCCACTGCTTAAGGACCATCCTTTTAGCCAAATACACCAACTTCGGGAAGAAGAAGAGTCAATTGCTAGGACAATATGTTTATTCGCCTGACGTTTCGACATCCGTCGCGGATTCA